AAAAAATACAATAATCTATTCAGGTGTAACTGTATCCCTCTTCTGTAATACTGTAATTAATACACCATTGACACAGTAATTACATCCATATTTATAACCCTAATTAAAAACTATTAAGGGTTCACATTACTAATTGACTCTTAATTCAAGGTAAATTTTAATCTATTAGTAGACTTCCACCACCACTGGCCTCTAACCAACCAAACCAAATTATTATGGGTGCTTGCAACTTTGTTATGCTTTGTTCTAGTTAGGCTAGGCTAGGTTAGGTTAGGTTAGGTTAGGGTTGTTAGAGTTGATAGGTTAGATTAGGTTAGGGATAGGTTAGGTTAGGGTTAGTTTAGGTTAGGGTAAGTAGTAGGTTAGGTAGGGTTAGGCACACATCTCTCTTATTTCTGTCTTGGTGGAGATTGTGTTTCCTAAATATAGTTAACCCAAAAGTCACTCTATGTTTATCCCTCCCACTCCCATCACATCACCCTCCCACCACTCCCATTTCACCTCCTCCATCCCTATCACCCCACCCACCTCTGCCCCTCCCGAGTCAGTTGTCATGTTTACTGAGAAACACCATGGATTGAGTTTACCATGTCATAAGTCTTCAACCTATCATCCATGGCCGACACCTAAATAATGGACCAACTTACTATATATAAGACTTCAATAAAACAGCCAATCAGAATCGAGAATTTGTTGTTTTTGGCCTTAAATTGAAGTACCAAGTAAATTTTTGAATTTAGGCGAATTTTAGGCGGGGAATTTTAAGGGGTATATTAGCACGGAAAAAAACATATATTAGCGAGTAATTTGATACTAATGATGTTTTTTGACAGCTTACAAGAGTCAAGATGAGTTATGACTTACGTTGAATTTTTCCTCCTTATCAAATTAGGAGAAAATATTAAGTTAAGAAAGGTGTTACAAAATGGGCCTTAATCCCACTGAGACTATACCACTAACCAGAGATATTCATTTAATCCTTGTACTTAGGAGAAACAGATTAAAATTAACTAACATTTTTTTCAGAAAACAAACAACAAACAAATACTGTAAACAAGAAGACACAAGATTTATAAACAAGGATGTTATTGTTTATTTGTATATTTGTTTGTTTTGTTTCTTTTATTTGTTTGTTTGCTTGTTTATTCACACAAACAATACTACCACACACCTTCCTCTTCAATTCCCGGCATCAAAAGTTAGAACTAATCTCCTTATCTAATTTCAAACCAACTTTTAGCCCAACTTATTCTGACGTCATAATCTTGGCCTGACTTCTTAAATAGCACCCAAAGGCAGATTAAATTTGTCTGTGATAGTTAAATTAGATATTTTTATGGGATTACAGTAATTAGGTATGGGATTAATAGGGGATTAATGGGTCATATGTCAAACAGACACATACATACACACACAGAGATAAACCCACGAACAAACACACACACACACACACACCACACCTGGACGACACACAGTGAGGTTAATAATTCATCTGACGGAGGTGTGTGTGTTTATTTTCTTTCTGTCTGTCTGTCTGTCTATCTGTCTGTCTGTCTGTCTGTCTGTCTGTCTGTCTGTCTGTCTGTATGTGTATATGTATATTGTACTGTATGTGCATGCTTGTGTATGTATGTGTATGTACGTATGTATGTGTATGTATGTACGTGTATGTATGTCCCCAAACTACACCTAAAATTTATCTACTGGTCACTCTTAAACACCATTACCTTCCACACACAACACGACACACACACACACACACACACACACACACACACACACACACACACACACACACACACACGACACGCGACACAACCACACACGACACACGACACCGGAGACCGGACACACTCGCTCTATTAACGGACACAAATTTCAACCGGACATCCGAATTAGGGACCTGACATCCGACTGACGTGGAAACGCTTGCAGTGGGGGGGACTTGTGGGAAGGGGCTGTGACATGTCTGGGGAGGAGAAGGAGTCGATATTGGGGAGATGTGTGTGTGCTGCGCCCTAGGGGAGAGTAGGGAGATGGAGGGGGAGGGAGATGTAGGGAGGGCAGGGAGGAGAGAGGAGGAGACTGGGGAGAGTGAAGGGAAAATGGAAGGGGAAGAGAGGGTGGGGGGGGAGAGGGAAGGGGGAGATAGGGAGGGAAGGAGGAGAAAAGTGGGAAGAGAGGTGAGAGGGGAGGGAGGGGAAGGATGGGGTGGATAAGAAGAGAGGGAAGAAGGAGAGAGCCATCTTCCTTCCTTTTCAATATTATAGAGGGATTCTTTACGAATGGCAATAATGAAAAGCATCTATCATTACATAAACCTAATATCCATCACACTTTATTTCCCTCAAAAAAAAAAACAATTAAATATACTAAATATCTTACATCCTGGGAAAAAATATTAAGTTTATCCTTACACAGTTTTTTAATAATCTCCCATAGAAAATAACCCAAATTTCCAACTAGTCACCAAGAATCCGTGTTCATATCCGGATAGGACAAGACGGCTGACGAACGCTCTGAGGGTGTGTTTACATTGAAGTAGGGCGTCATCATTTAATTTAATAACCCGTGCTTTTGTTTATACTTTTGTGGATGCTATTAGAGGAGAGGGTGTTTTTATTAGCAAGAGAGACAGAGAAACAAAATGAGAGAGAGTGAGAGAAAGAAAGAAAGTGAGAAGGAAAGAGAGAAAGAAAAAAAGTACTATAAACTGAGATATATAAAACTTTCTTTCTGAGTATTTCTTGATTTAACCTCCATTTGGTCCTAATCCTAACAGACCCCAGTACTAAGAGGACCTCTGTCACAATAGACCCCAGTTCAATTTCTGGCTATAACAGATAGTTCATAATGGATTTAAATCAAGTCTAGTTCCGTCCATTACAATTTCTTAACACAGTATCTTTTAATCTGTCTAATTCCGTCCATTACAACCTCCTCCACGTCTAGTTTCGTCCATTACATTAACCCATGACTACGACCTCACAATATTATTTAGCCACGATAAACAAAACACCGGGATATAATTTTTTCCTCTCTCTAACACAGCGTTGGTGAATGTAATAATTATGACCAGGTTTTTTAGTCCAATTGAAAGTTACAGTGTGGAGAGTTAATATTATGTGTGGAGACAAAGTGTTTTTGTTTATTAGTGATTGTAAATGTTAAAAGGATATATACATATATTTATATGTGTGTTTGTTTGTTTCTTTTGTGTGTTTGTTTATGTTTGTATTTGAATATATGTTGTGTGGTTGTTATTATTATTATTATTATTATTATTATTATTATTATTATTATATTATTATTATTATTATTATTATTACATTATTATTATTATTATTATTATTATTATTATTATTATTATTAATAAAATACACACAATCAGCAATCTGATTATCAATCACCTAATCACTACCCAATTCCACAGAGTTCCTGTAAGTTATCCAATCAGAAAATCGACTTAATTTACATATCTTTCCAATAATTTCTCTGTATATCATTAAACACAAGTTGAGTTAATTCTTGTAAATATTAAAATAAATGGTCTTTATTCTTTCTTTGTAGTAATTATGGTAACATATGATAATAGGCTTTTCACTTATTAGAAAAACTGACGAGGGAATTATAATTAAGATATCTATGTTGTCGAGGACGGAGGGACATGATAGGCTGAAACTTGGTGACGTCATTGTGTTGTTGCCGACTTAGTGAGCTTTTTGATAAACACTATGAACATCTATATATCAAGTACACACACACACAAACGACAAAGACATACATCACACTAGACTGAAACCTTATGCAGACAGAGAGAAATAACGACGATTGCAGAAAAAAAAATTGCAACAACAGGTGAAAATTATTGTGACGCAGAAATACAACAATATACATCTATACACATTTCCTCGATATATATAACTATACACATTAGCCCCATTAGTGAGGAGGAAGGAAAAATATACTGAAACATTGAGCAGCATAATTCTTTCCTGGGTCTCGACGTGACTTGTGTAAACGCGGGCAAAAAGTAAAGGTAACACAACTTTTAGAATAATATTTTGGTGACTTTATTCTTACTTTATTGACAGATAAAGTAGTAAAGTAGCGTGGGGAGGGTTAATAGGTTTGTGTTTTATTGTTTTATTTTTTATGGTTGGTTTAGAGTAGGTAGGGGGTGATCTTGTTTAAAAGAGATGGGTAGGTGGGTCTTTTTTTTTTTTTTTTTCTCTCTCTCTCTCTCTCTCTCTTCTCCATCTCCAGACTGTCAGCAGGTGCCAAGCTTAACTCCCCAAGTGACCCCTGAACTGTCGTAGGCAAAATCACCATCAATTAGCTGAAGAGAAATGCTTTAGTCTAAATGATTAATAAATGTTGAATAAATTCTCACACTGGCACCAATAAATTCTCATACTAGCATTCATAAATGTTTCATATTAGCGTTAATAAATTCTCATTCAGGAATCTTGGAATACAGGAATAGTGGAGCTGAGGATGGGAATGAGACCTTTGAAATGGGCAATTGGGAGTGATGGTCCAGGGAGTCTTGTTAGAGGTCATACGTCAGGTCAGGTCAGGTTAGGTCGTGTGGTCGTGAACAGGAACCATGCCTCTTAATAATAATAATAATAATATTAAAAATAATAATAATAATAATAATAATAATAATAATAATTAGATTTTTCATTATCATTATCATTATTATTATCATTACATCACCATCATCATAACACGGGATTAATACATAGCTCCTTCATAACACCACAACATGACCTGACATTAACGCACGTCTCTCTCCCACAGCACCACAACACATGCCCTGGAGGTGACCGAGTCAGTTGAGTCATCCACCAGAGGGGAGTCCATTCACGCCCGCTGCTCTCACACATACACACCTAAAGTCTCCCGCCAACACTAGTCTCCACAACAGAAGTCTCAACGCCTATAGCCATGCCCTTCTACGCCCTATTCGATCAGGTGAGGATCTGGCCAGAGGCTTCAATAGGACTCAGAGTGATGAAGCCAAGACTCCCACACAGGTGAGGATATAGTGTGTGTGTGTGTGTGTGTGTGTGTGTGTGTGTGTGTGTGTGTGTGTGTGTGTGTGTGTTGTTCTGTCTGTCTGTCTGTCTGTCTGTCTGTCTGTCTGTCTGTCTGTCTGTCTGTCTGTCTGTCTGATAAATGCCTACCAACACTAAAACGATCACTTAACACAAACAAATCTGACAGAAGATTTTTACTCTCAAAATCATCCTTCAGATTTTGTTTTTTAATTTGAACGCTTACAGATTTGGGTTTCGACCCCCTCTCCCCTCCCTCACCCCCTCACCCCTCCTCCCCTCACCCCCCCCCCACCCCCATTCCCTCCTTCACTCTTCTCCTTCATCTCTTCCTCATAATTCCTTCCTCCACATCCTTCTTCCTTCCCCCTCCTTCTCCTCCTCCTCCCACATCTCCTCTCCTCCTCCTCCTCTTCTCCTTCCCTCCTCCTCCTCCTCCTCCCCTCCCGTTCCTCCTTTCCACATCAATTGAACATATGTCTTAGAATGTCCCTTAAGCAGGTGTGTCTCTAAGCAGGTGTCTCTAAACAGGTGTGTCTCTAAGCAGGTGTGTCTCTAAACAGGTGTTTCTCTAAGCAGGTGTGTCTCAGGTGTGTCTCTACAGGGTGTTTAAGGTGTGTTGGTGTGTCTCTAAGCAGGTGTGTCTCTAAACAGGTGTTTCTCTAAGCAGGTGTGTCTCTAAGCAGGTGTATCTCTAAGCAGGTGTGTCTCTAAGCAGGTGTGTCCTTAAGCAGGTGTGTCTCTAAACAGGTGCATAAGAGCATTCCTTAAGAGTTCAGGTATACAAGAGAGTCGTTCCTTAATTGGCACGACCCCTTAATGAGCCAAGGTGAAAATGGTATCAGCTTAAAGAACACACCTGAAGTAGCCCATTAACCTACCTGCCCAGGTAATTAAGGCTTGTGATTAGTGTCTCTCTCTCTCTCTCTCTCTCTCTCTCTCTCCAAGACGAACCAGGTCACCAAAGGAGCTGTTACCTGGAACTCACCTGTGCCACATCCAATCAGTTTGGGTCCAGGCTTAAGATGAGTCTCTGTGTTCGATCCTCTGCCTTGTCCATGATAGGAGACGGTGGCTGAGTGGGTACAGGGCTCGTTTCATATCCTAAGTGATCCTTGGTTCGATCTCGGGTGCACTATTAATTTATGCAGTCGTCCTAATCTTCTCACAGTCGTCCTAATCTTCCTACAGTAGTCCAAATCTTCTCACAGTCGTCCTAATCTTCTCACAATCGTCCTAATCTCCCTACAGTCGTCCCAATCTTCCAAAGTCGTCCTAATCTTCTCACAGTCGTCTAATCTCCCTACAGTCGTCCTAATCTTCCCACAGTCGTCCTAATCTCCCTACAGTAGTCCCAATCTTCTCACAGTCGTCCTAATCTTCCCATTCCTAACCAACTCTCTGTAATTCGACTGTTCATCTTACCTTAATCACCTTAAAGTCACTCCCAATCTTCCCACATTATCAAGCTAACTTTTCCATGATTATACACACCTTACCAAACTTATTCTCGTTCTAATCTTGCTTTCCTGCGTCTTCTAATCACCCCACAATCGCTCTTGCGTCTCCTAATCACCTTATATGTAGTCCTAATCACCGTGGCCATCTCCTTCCGCAGTACCCGGTGAGTCAAGCCAGCAAGACGGCTCCGAGGTCAAGCAGCGACATGGCCAGGCTCTCCCACAACATCTCAGCCATCTTGGAGAACCTGCTGAAGAACTACAACAATCAGGTGCGCCCCGGATACCACGAAGGTCAGTCCAGGTCACGGGAGGGGAAAGGTCAAAGAGGGAAAGGAGAGGTCATGGGGAGGAAAAGGTCATGGGGAGATCACGGGGAAGGGGAGAGGTCATGGGGGAGGGGAGAGGTCAGTGGGAAGGGAGAATCAACAGGAAGGGGGAGGTAAAAGAGGGAGGGAAGAGGTCAATGGGGGAGGGAAGAGGTCAACGAGGGTCAGTCCAGGTCACTCCTGTCTCTTGGAGGAGAGTTATCTGGTCAGGGGAACGAGATGTTGGTAACGGCTGGGGACCTGTAGGAGGAGGTCATAGGGCAAGTGAGGATATAGTGAGGGTGTAGTGAGATATAGTGAAGATGTAGTGATGATGTAGCAAGTATAGTGAGGATGTAGTGATGATGTAGCAAGATATAGTGAGGATATAGTGATGTAGCAAGATATAGTGAGGATGTAGTGATGATGTAGCAAGATATAGTGAGGATGTAGTGCTGATGTAGCAAGATATAGTGAGGATGTAGTGATGATGTAGCAAGATATAGTGAGGATGTAGTGATGATGTAGCAAGATATAGTGATGATGTAGTGAGATATAGTGAGGTTGTAGTGATGATGTAGCAAGATATAGTGATGATGTAGTGATGATGTAGCAAGATATAGTGAGGATGTAGTGAGGATGTAGCAAGATATAGTGAGGATGTAGTGATGATGTAGATATTATTGAGGATGTAGTGAGGATGTAGCAAGATATAGTGAGGATGTAGTGATGATGTAGCAAGATATAGTGAGGATGTAGTATGATGTAGCAAGATATAGTGAGGATGTAGTGATGATGTAGCAAGATATAGTGAGGATGTAGTGATGATGTAGCAAGATATAGTGATGATGTAGTGAGATATAGTGATGTAGTGAAGATATAGTGAGGATGTAGTGCTGATGTAGTGATGATGTAGTGAGAGAATTTACAGCCAAGCTCAGGGTCAGGGGTTCATACCCTTTATAGTGGTGGTTGTTGTCGGTCACTGTATCATAGTGGTGCAGTGTGTTATGTTGTGTCCAGTGGTCGTTGGATGCCTCTAGTCTTGCGGCGTGTAGCTGAGATGTGAGGTCGTTGGGGTGCGGTCAGGGTGGGGGTCTGTGTTCTCTTCCTGTATTACTCTTGTATCATGTTTATTTGTTTTTGTTTGTTGTTTTGGTTTTCTTTATTGCTTTTTGCTTTTGTTTTTTTGCCTTTTCCTTTTTTGCTTTTGTTTTTAATGCTTTTGCTTTTTTGCCTTTTGCTTTGTTGCCTTTTGCTTTTTCTTTTTTTCTTTGTAAGACGATCAACACTGTGAGAGGCAGCTGTCTGTGGTGGGATCCAGGTAACTTTAATGCGGATGTTATCAGTTTAGTTTAAGGTCGTGTTTGGTGGCAGAAAGGTCAGTACCAGGTCATGGGAGGAGGGTGGGAGAGGTCAAGGTCAGTGAGATTTAGAGGGCACTGACCTATTATACTGTGGTCTTTGTAGTGTGTGTGTGTGTGTAATAATAAATAATAATAATAAACGGTTTATTGAAAAAGTTTGCAGTCCGAAGGCTGAAAATATACATTGGACATAAATGACTTATTACATACATTGGTGGTTTAACAAAAGCCTTCATTGTGTGTGTGTGTGTGCGTGTTATCTAGACACACACAAATGACAGGTGGTGTGTGATACGGGATCAGCTGGTTGTGTGTGTGTGTGTGTGTGTGTGTGTGTGTGTGTGTGTGTGTGTGGAAGAGATCGATGGATAGTTAGACAGATAATAGATAGATATGTAGAAAGAGACCAATAGAGACAGACAGACAGACAGACAGACAGACAGACAGACGAACCGAACCAGACAGACAGACAGACACACAGACAGACACACAGACAGACAGACACACAGACAGACAGACGCAGACGAGACAGACAGACAGACAGACAGACAGACAGACACAGACAGACAGACAGACAGACAGACAGACAGACACAGACTGAATGTAAAATTGCATTCTAAAAATATCACTTATCATTTATTATAATTAAACATCTGAATAAAAAAACATAATAAAGTAAATTATATAACACCAAAACAAGACAATAACACCTGTCCAGAATTAATTGAAAAGATTGCACAGGTGTGATTAATATTGATTGAATACACGCCATATATTTTTTTTTCTTTATTTTCTATTATAATCTTTTTTTTTTTAATTTGTGCTCAATAAACCCCGTAATGTTAATTAATTATTGGTGGTCATTTACATAATTACGTTAGTTGTCATTCTTAAGAGTGTCCGTCTGTCCATCCGTTTCTTTACATCAATACTGACCCGCCATCTAAGGGGGTAAAAATCAGTAAGGATAATAATTTAGGATTTTTTTTTTACTTTTTTTCCAACAAAGGGTAAATTCTCCCCTTTCCATCCTTGTTGAGAGAGCAAATCAACCATGGCGACGGGCCCAGGGTTCACCTATACCCTGTGGGAGATGGTTAGTCCCGGTAATTCATCTCGTGGTTTCTCTAATTGACTCGAAATTGGGGATGAGATGTGGTGTAAGGGGTGGTGTGGGGGGGAGGGTGTAGGGGATGGTGTGGGGGTGTAGAGGATGGTGTGGGTGGTGTGGGGGGGGTGGTGTGGGGGTGTGAGGTGGTGCTGGGGGGGGGAGGTGTGGGGGTGGTGTGGGTGGTGTGGGGGTGGTGTGGGGTGTGGGGGTGGTTGTGGGTGGTGTGGGGGGGTGTGGGGGTGGTGTGCGGGGAGGTGTGGGGGTGGTGTGGGGGGGGTGTGGGGGTGGTGTGGGTGGTGTGGGGTGTGGTGGGTGGTGTGGGTGTGGTGTGGGGGGTGTGGGGGTGGTGTGGGTGTGGTGTGGGGTGTGGGGGTGGTGTGGGTGGTGTGAGGGGTGGTGTGGGGTGTGGGGGTGGTGTGGGTGGTGTGGGGGATGTGGGGGTGGGGTGGGCTGGGAGTTTTGAGAGTGAGTGTGGGGTGTGGGGGAGGTGTGATGGGTGGTGTGGGGGGTGGTGTGAGGTGTGGTGTGGGGGGTGTGGGGTGGAGCGTGTGGGGGGTGTAGGGGTGGTGTAAGGGAGTGTGCAGGGGGGTTGTAGGGGATGGTGTAGGGGGAGCGTGTAGGGGGTGTAGGGGTGGTGTAAGGGAGTGTGCAGGGGGGTTGTAGGGGATGGTGTAGGGGGAGCGTGTAGGGGGTGTAGGGGTGGTGTAAGGGAGTGTGCAGGGGGGTTGTTCATGAGGTGGGGGAGAGATACAAGCAGGGTGAAGAGATTGGGTGGTGATGGGGCCCTTAGGGGTGGTGAGGGGGCCCTTAGGGGTGGTGATGGTGGTGATGATTTATGACACTAGTGATGAACTTTAATAGGACTTGGGGCCCGTAAGCACCTGGGGCCCATTACCACCTAGGGCCCCGTACCACCTGGGGCCCATTAACACCCAGGGCCCCTTAACACCTGGGGCCCATTAACACCTGTGGCCCATTAACACCCAGGGCCCCTTAACACCTGGGGCCCATTAACACCTGTGGCCCATTAACACCCAGGGCCCCGTACCACCTGGGTCCCATTAACACCCAGGGCCCCTTAACACCTGGGGCCCATTAACACCTGGGGCCCATTAACACCTGGGGCCCATTAACACCTCGGGCCCATTAACACTTGGGGCCCATTAACACCTGGGGCCCATTAACACCTGAGGCCCATTAACACCTGGAGCCCATTAACACCTGGGGCCCATTAACACCTGGGGCCCATTAACACTTGAGAGAGAAGAAGGTCAAGTAGACAGGTCATCACGTCTCCACTTACAACGAAATGATCGATGTAAAATTACTTTCGAGGTACGGATATTTTGGCGTCATGAGAGAGAATCTCCCTGTGCCTATATATAAATACCTGTACTTATATTTATACCTTTAACAATATATAATTTGCATTATTACCTTTAACTGTACCTGTAGTTGTAGCATACTTTTATAAACATTAGGCAGCTGGGCGGCTGGCTGTAGCTGGGTATAGACACTAGAAGAATAATCATGGCATCTATTACCGTAGCGGGTCGAATAGGGTCTGATTCCCCTACGACCCTCTTCAACCCCGATGCTCTTTTGTCAATCGGAAGACCAGTTACCAAAAGGGTTCATTCTTCCCTCCTTCATGTGGCTGGGGGTGAAAGGAGGTATAATGAATGTAAAATTTACGAAGAAATGGAAGAAAGGAGAGAGAGGAGATTATAATCAATGATGGAGGAGGGGAAGTGAGGAAGAGAAGAGACGAGGAATGAGAAAAGAGTGAATCAGGGTATAGAGAAGCTGCGTATTAGGTTCGTAGTGTCACTGAGTTTATGAATTGGTTAGTTAATGGCGCTCAGTTCGTATATTTAAAGAGTAAAGGCGTTAAATTTGATAGTTATAGAGTTATTGGCGCTGAAGTCGTGACTATAAAGGTGCTGTAGTCTTAGATATACAATATAGAGGTAGTGGAACTTTAAATACACTGCATAAAAGATTACAGGTTAATGGTGTAGGTTCAAAATATACATAGACAGTATACGTACATATACATTCATATACATATTAACTACAGTACACACACTCATGCCGTGATTGTGATGATATGAGGCGCCATGATAAAATTCATTATCAACATAGCACTGTGATTAAAGTTATCTATGGAAATACCTGAGGGCGGAACTTCCTAATTGTTGTTGATGTTATCTCTTGTGGTTGGTCTCATGGTCCTCCCCTAAACCAGAAATCTACCTTAAAATCCGAAATCTACCCTAAAATCCGGAATCCTCCCTCTTAAAATCCGGAATCCACCCTAAAATACGGAATCCTCCCTCTTAAAATCCGTAATTCTCCATAAAATCTGGAATTCGCCCTCCTAAATTTAAAATGTCCTGTCCTTAATCCGGAATCCCTATCCTAAATCTGGTTTTACTCCCTAAAACGGAAATTCACCCTAAAATCCGGAATCCTCCCTCATATGATATCAATAATCCCTGATCTCAA